TAACATGCGAAGAGTCTGTAGCTCTTAATGATTTCACAATCTCTCTGTGACTCAGTATTGTAAGGCTCTTGTAGTTTCTAGCCTGCTTATTTGAAGGAAAGACTCTGGAGGGAGAGCAGGAATTAGTTTTCTCTCCTACCACACCCAAACACTGTCTGCTGAAGCCATAACCAAGGCCTGTCATGCTCAGCATTTTGTTTCCCTCAGTGGCTCATTATATAATTCTGGGAAGTTCACAAACAAAGAAGTAGTATGGTGCAGCAGTTGGAAACATAAATCCTATTGTTAGTCCAAGTTAGGAATCATGTTACCCTCCAAAAGTTGTTACACTGCAACTCCCAACAGTTTTAGCCAGCATAGTCGATGGTGAGGGGTGCTGGGAGATGCAGCCCAACAACATTTGAAGCACCACATCCAACTAGTTAATCCAAACTATAATAGATCCTCTGAATCATTGGGCTTGACCAGTGTATTTAGTATTGACTAAAGCACGCCCGAAAGATGGTCATCCAGCCTGTGTTTAAGGACTTCCAAAGAAGGACAGTCCTCCAAGGCAATCTGTTGAAGAGCTCTTAGCATCAAGAAATTCTTCTTAATGTGTAGTCAGAATCTCTCGTCCTGTAACTTGAACCCACCATTTCAGATCCTAGTTTCTGGACCAGCATCTTCTGTTGACTCACCATTCAATGGCTGATGGAATAAAATCTACTCTAGTTGGGACTATACAATAGTTTTCATCCCAGAGTGTTGGATTGGAGCTTGGGGAGTCCAGGTTCAAGTCCTGATGAGAGAGGGCAGGAAGCCCCATACTCTTTATGTGCTTCTCTTGTAAGTAAGTGAAACGCTTGTATTTATGTTTCTGGTTCCACCAGGTGGAGACTAGTATTTTCACATGCCTGCAATTTCATTCATATACCTCTGCTAAAAACATCGAGTTGATCATTAGATGAGGACTATATCATTGCATGTAAGTACTAGCCCAAGTAAGATATTTATTGCCATTACAATATGTCTTGACACCATCCAAACAACATAGCAATATACCAAAAGTGGCCAAAGGCATCAAGGAAATATAATGTAAAGTTCCCTAGGTGGAACTATGCCATATTTCCTGTTCACCCACTGAAAAACCTATCTCTCCCCCCCCCCCCCCCCCCCCAATCAACAGAGCCATATGAATAGCAGAGGGTGGCTAAGAATTGTCTGACTTTACAACTAAAGCCAGACACACAATAGGGATGTCATTTCCAGGACTTCTGAAGGGCCCTTGGGAGGTCTCAGAATATTCCTTCATCATTGTGTGTCTAGCTAGGCACATAGGTAGATTCTCCAGGACTGAAGGATGGAGGGTTCCTTCCCATCTGTCAGCTAACTTGTATCTGTTTGGAGGTCCCTTTCATCATCCTCAGGTCACTTACACTCCCAATTTGTTATCAGTGGTATAGTCCAAACAGACAGAGTTAGCACCAGCATTACACTTGCACACTCTTAAGTCTTGGAAACTCTAGATATTTAATTTGAGAGAATGAGCAGGCTCTTTGTTAAACTTTTAGGCTATTTTATTATGTACTGCTTTATACTTTACTATCTTTATACTTTGCAAAACAGACTACTCAGACTCCAAAGGCTTAAATTTCACAAAAATACAACCTAAATCTCAGCCTGTAACACCTTCATTGCTGTGTGTCTATCTAAACACATAGATAGATGCTTGTCTCCCACTCTCTACATGGCCCCATCCCATGAAAAAGGTGAAGTTTCAGAGAATTGGAATTGTTGTACAAGGATGGTAGAGTATTCCAGCTTTCAGAATGACAAAAAATAGAGGGGTAACATATGTAGACAGAGGTTGGACTAGCATCTCAGTATATTATTAAGAGGATGCTAGCTAATATTTGTATGGCAGTTACCTGCTGAAATCCATGCACAGAAGAGGCATATCAGAGTATGTCTAGTTCTAAAAAGAAATCTAAATATATCCCCCCTCTAAATAAAGCATAAAAAAGATAAAAATATAAACTAAGGATTTAAATAGCCAAATCTCAGGGATTTGAGTTGTATATGGGTTTATGTAATGTTTAGATAACGTGCAAACATGCCAGGTAGCACTCGCATAAGCAGGCAACAAGCTCCAGCAACTTCCAATACCCTGCCTCTCTCAGTCATGAACTTGGCATCCTTTCTAAAGTTACAGTGTAACAGGTTCTCAACATGTCTAATGCTTTGTTGTTTTTCACAGTGATTCGATATGCTAGGTAATCTCCTTTTTAAAAAAATGCATAGACCTTCTTTGGGAGTATGACTTCAAAGCAAAAATATTGTGGTTGAGCATAAAGTAACCTAATTTCTCAGTGGAAATGCATTTTGGTATTTTTGGTGCTCTTATAATTTCAAATAAATTATTCCCAGAGTCCTGCCCAACTATATGTGGATGAAATGTTTGGAAGGAACAAATGTTTTGCCCAGAAGTAAGGGGGAGGATTAAATATTTATTCACTTAACCCAACCTGCATTTTGGGTAATGTTTAACTTCCAAAATTACTCATGGATCGGGGTGTGTGTGTTATAATGGAAGACAAATTTGCACATGTCTTGTTTGTTATGCTAACTGGCCAAGGGCACATTGCTGGGACTTCTATATTACAAGGGCACTGTGAACCTTCAGCAGGAATTCTGCCCATGGGGACCAGGCCCCTCAGTGTCAAGGTATGAAGGATGATACGAACACTATATAGCATCCCTAAGTTCAACACTTTTATTTTCTCCCCTATAAACTGAGTTGACTTTGGCATGAGGCTGTTTTCCCAGACACCAGGTGCTGCCCAGTAGGGTTGCCAGACTGAAAACTGGAGACAAATCCTGTATCATTAATGGCAGTGCAGAAATGGAAATTTCAGCAGGTGTTGTCTGTCACACAACCAGGTCACAAGTTACACCTGCTGAAATTTACTCTTTTGCACAAGCATTAAAGCTACAAGAGTCCTCTCATGTTTTCACCTTGGCTACCCAACTGGCCAGCTTGCCTACCATCCAAAAGCCTCCTACTGACCAAGATCCATCAGAGAAAGGAGAAGGGAGGAAGGGGGGTGATTCTGAGCATGAAGATCCAGATCATTTGTACTCCTGGAGGAAGGAAAAGACAGGTGGACTTCATTTAAGAGGGCACCCTCATTTCTTTCCCTGCATCCAAACCAAGACCAGCTGCTTCTCCATAATCTGATTTGCCTCCTTCTACCTCCCTTCTGCACTGGAAACCAACAGAAACAAGAGTCCCTCCTGGGACTTGGCAACTGCCAGAAAGTGGGAGGATATGGAACTGTGTGTGCAGAACTAGGTACCAAGGTGGGAATCTCAAATTTGAGATATCAAGAAAGGGGAGGAAGCTAAATTATTTAATTTGTTCTTGTTGTCCCTTCCAGTGAGGGTTTGGCCCTTGTACAATTTTCAGCCTCATTTGCCAAAATAATGTGTATTATAGTGTATTACACTGATTTAGGCTGTGTCTGCATTGCAGAGTTACTGCCGTTTGACACTGCTTTAGCTGCCATGGATCAATGCTATGGAATTCTGGATCTTGTAGCTTTGTAATGTATTTAGCCTTCTCTGTCAGAGAGCTCTAGCACCACAATAAATCTCAGAATTCCATAGGATGAAGCCATGACAGTTAAAGCAGTATCAAATTGTGTTAATTCTGCGGAATGGTAGCAGTCTTATTTACAACCTCACCACTATCACCAAAAAGTGAAGTCACTGGCTTTAGTTACCTTGACTATGGGGTGAGGTACTGCCATTGGTTGCTCCACCACAGCATACCAGCCAACTTTCCCAATTTGGCAACAACTGTCCCGATTAGCCCTTTATTGTACCGCTTTTCATCTGCTTTTAAAGTGTGCCAGTTTCTCTTTCCTCCTCCCACTTGCCCCCTTTGTCCTCAGCTTACATCCATTGCTGCCAATTGAATTCAAAGTGCAACAGTAGTTTGCTCTTAATTGACTCAGCAGAGGAGAGATGGAACCTTGCCTTTTTAACTTTTGGACTTTGGCCCACTCCAAGGTTGCTTGTCCACGTGTCCCAGTTTTCATCTGTGCCTGAGGTAGATGGTTGCCATTCACTCCTTTGGGGAAGAATCAAACTGGATGGTGGTGGTGGTGGGGATGAAGGAGACTATTAAAGTGTTTCCTAAACATCACTGCAGTTCCAGTGATACCAACTATGGAGAAATGAGGCTGTTCCTATCTTTATAGTCCCATGTCTTCATCTGCATCATCTATGGTGTAGAAAGTTTGGCCTGTGGGTTGCATGAGACCCATGGAGCCCATTGTTGTGGGGGATATTTGGGAGCTCCTGGGATTCTGGGAGCTGAAGTCCCTTGGCCCTTAAAGGGGAAAGGTTGCCTACCCCTGGCTTAAAACGTAATAGCTTTGCTAGCAAGCTCACTACATCCCTTTAAAATGCAAATAATGGCTATAACCCAGCTGTAAATGAAACAAAGATTAAGGGATGTTACAGCTGGCCCTCCATATCAATGGATTCTTTATCCACAGATTCAATCATTCGTTTGGGAAATTTTCCAAAAAATATATAAATTTCAAAGAGCAAACCTTGATTTTTCCATTTTAGATAAGGGACACCATTTTACTACCTCACTATATATAATAGGACGAGCATCCATGGATTTTGGTATCTACGCATGGTCCTGGAGCCAGTCCCCAGCAGATACCAAGGGAACACTATACTTCTGGTTGTGTTGTGTTCCCTTGGTATCTGCTGGGGACTGGCTCCAGGTGTGGTCCATGGAAGTACAAGGGTGAAAAATGGTCCTCACTTCCTCCACAGTTTTGTGGGCATCCATCCCCTTCATTGCACATCCACACCTGCCTTCTGTTCCTTAGCTGTGTTTAAAAGGACTGTAACATGAAAAATTGGCATTATCTGCTGTGGTATACATGGATTGTGCTTCAGTTTATTTTCTTGTGATAAAATATTAGATTGGTAAGAGAGCCAGCATGGTGTAATGGTTTGAGTGTTGGACTATGGCTCTGGAGACCAGGGTTCAATTCCCATTTGGCCATGAAATCCACTGGTTGAGCTTGGGCGAATTACATGTTCTCGGCCTCAAGGGATGGCAATGACAAACCTTCTCTCAACAAATCTTGCCAAAAAAAACCAACCCATGATAGGTTTGCCTTAGAGTCACCATAATTTGGAAACGACTTGAAGGCAAACAACAACAACAACAACAACAAAGTATAGATAACTCCCAGAATTCTAAAGGCACTGACTTTGTTTCCCAATAGGTTCTGAAAATTGTAGTCCAAAAAAGTAATGCTTACAAGCTTTAAACTGGATATTCTGTAACATTTTGTTGCAGGTCCTACTGATTTATATTTAAAGTTGATAGTAGCTGTTACCTGATAAGTACAAATTCTGATATCACGGTGTCTGGTCCATTGCAGAGCAGATTGGATTTAGATGAAAAACCAAACTGGGAGGCTGTTTGATTTGGGCTCTGTGTGTGTGTGTTTTAAAGCAAGTCAGCATGCTTTTAACTTCAGCCGGGTGCCTATTTTAGGAGCCGGACAATAATGCTTGAATGAGAACAAGGAGTCTGAAAGCCAGAAATATGTTTTTCTTTCTGCTTCTGTGTAGTGTTTTTGTTTTGCTTCCTGAGCTGCAGCAGCTGAAATAATTTTTTATTGTTTTATTCTAACTCAGCAGAGACATAGAAATATGTTTTCTTTGGCTTATCTCTGAAAAAGCCCACCTGACAAGAGAACGGATCTGGTTGTCTAAGAGGCTTTTGAGGTTGTGCAAATTGATTTTCAGTTAATTTTTCCCCCTATGTTCAGTAGAATGGCGTGGGGAGGGGGCAACACTTCCATGACTGTGACATAAAATATGAACGGTATTGAGCCTGAACTAGACTTCCTGCTGGGAAGAATATGTCTGAGTGTTATGAAGTTATTCAGAGTGTAAATCTGGCTTCTTATGAAGTCCTTCTTGAAGTGCCCTCTCAGCTCAGTTACTTAAGGAACTGAATCACAATGGTTTTCTAAGGTTACATGATCTTAATCAGCCCTTAAGACTTTTTATTTACAATCAGTGCACGAAGCTCCTTCTTCTTTGGCTAGGGGATTCATTCCAATGCAAGCTGCTTCTCCCCAAACCCAGCATAGCAGTTTATCACATGGAGGCAAACTACAAAAATCCCATGCAGAAATGCAACTTAGACTGAGATTCTCATGGTGGTTTGCATCAACATAATTTTAACAACCATGTCATGAAATTAAAACCACTAGTTGTATGTATAATAATTACCATACAAATTGCTGGTTGAAATGATAAATTATTTTGATCTGGCATTTTTAAAAAGGAGGGAATCTGATCTTCTTGGGCAGAGAGTTCCACAACTTGTTCTGCTTCAGATAAGATTCTGTTCCAGTTTGCCACCAACAGAAACTAGAGTAGAATGTCTTTTCTATCTCCCCTTTGGTCTGTTAGGGAAATTCTGACTGGATACATGGTTTTGTAGTTGGATAGACTGTTTTCGAACAGTCTTTTCCCAAGCTGTGCAGGGATTCAAAGATAATAAGTGGTACTTTGAATTGGATTGGAAATATACTTGCAGTCAAGATATAGTTGTACACTCCCCCAAACTGGGTCTGGTTTGATAGCTAGCTGCCAGGTTCTTACTTAATGCTTAGTTATTACAAATTCTAAGGCTAAATATTTTTTCACATTACTGAAATTTCACATTACCCACACACCCTCACCCTATGTTTCATATTTGTTGTTGTTAACTGCCCTCAAGTTGATCTTGACTCATGGTGACCCTATGGATGAGACATCTCCAAGACCCTCTGTCCTCCACTGCTCTGCTTAAATCCTGCAACCCCTTAATACCTGTGACCTCCTTCATAGAGTCCATCCATCTGGCATGTGGCTTTCCTCTCTTCCTACTTCCCTCCACCTTCCCCAACATTATTGTCATTTCCAATGAGTCCTCCCTTCTCATGATGTGTCCAAAGTACAATAGCCTCAGTTTGGTCATCTTGGCTTCCAGGGAGGCTTCCAGTTTGATCTGCTCTAGGACCCATTTGTTTGTCCTTTTGGCTGTCCATGGGATCCTCACCACTCTTCTCCAGCACCACATTATTTCAAATGCATTGATTTTCTTCATACCATCTTTCTTAACTGTCCAGCTCTCACATCCATACATGGTAATAGGGAATACAATGACTTGTATTCATACGCTATGTTGCAATTATTTATCTGTGAACGTAAAAGAGAAAACTCTTGCCTTCAGCCTATGGTCCAAAACACACTGCAGAAATAATCCAGTTAGAGACCACTTTAACTGCCCTGGTGCAGTGCTAGGAAATTCTGGGAATTGTAGATTGTTGTGGTATTAGAGCGCTGTCAGGTTAAATGTCTCACAAAATCACAGTTCCTAGAATTCCCTAAAATTGAACCAGGGCAGTTATTTCTGCAGTGCTAACTTCCAAAATCCCTCAGTCAGCATAGCCTACTGGGAATTCTGGGAGTTGTAGTTCAGAAAGTCACTTTCCAAAGTTCTGATTGCTTCCATGCAATGGTTTTAATATTCTGGGAAGCAACTGATGGTAAACAATTTGATACAGGATGTTAGATGAAAATGAACACAGCCTTTTCCTTATGAAATAGTGAAGCACTTCTCAAATAAGTCTTCTTCTTAATAGTGGAGCATTTCAAAAAATTCCAAAAAGGGAGTGGCATTTTAACTAATTCTTGTTCATACTGTACAGAAGGAGGCACTGGTCAACCACTTCTAAGTGTCTTTTCCCATAAAACCCTTAAGATGAGACAGTTCATAAACATGTGCATTCCTTTTCAGTTTATCTAAAAGCATTCTGTAGATTCCTTTTTACAAGCATCTTTCTTTTTTATGAGAATTCCTAACATAAAGGTAACTAATCCATCCTTATTTTTTCATCCTTATTTTTCCATGTTGGCAACAAGCCAAGGAGGTCCACACATTATGACTGACATGGAGAGGCTGCCCAAAATGACATTTCTTTATCTCCCCATTTTGTGTAGGAATCTCCTCCTCCACACCAACCATGACTCAAGGTGGCTTAGAAAAATTAAAACTGATATAAATTATAAATACACTGGAAATAATAGAAAATATTATTGGTAAAAAGGAATTAAACTGTTTATTGATTTTTTAAATATGTATGTTCATATTAAAAATATTCAGGGGTAGCTGTGTTGGCTATTTAGCAAATTCAAATAAAAATCTATCAGTGATACCTTTATTGTCCAACCAAAATGTGCAATATACTTGTTGCATGCTTTCAAAGCTCCATAGGCTTCTTCATCAGGCAAGATGTTACAAACCAAACAGGAGAAAAACAATTGGAGATGTTAGTCAGATGCCTACATGTTGTTTCAGTCTTTAGTTAAGATGGTATATGGTGGGGAGGATGTCTTTTGCAGGCAGGCTCCTCCTCCTTCTAGCCATGTATTGCAAAAAGTTTGTTAGAATAAATATATTTGTCATTATTTGCCAACAAGTCAGCTTCAACTTATGGTGACCCTATGAAAAAGAGACTTCCCAGAGCCCTGGTCATCACTTGAGCTGCTCAGATCCTGCCAACTCAGGGCCATGGCTTCCTTGATGGAGTCAATCCATCTGTAACGTGATCTTCTTTTTTTCCTACTGCCTTCCACTTTGCCCAGCATCATTGTCTTTTCCAGTGTGTCATGTCATCTTATGATATGTCCAAAGAACAACAGCCTTAGTTTGTCATCTTGGCTTCTACAGAATTCAGGCTTCATTTGAGTTAAGACCCATTCCTTTGCCTTTTTAGCAGTCCATGGTATCTGTAGAACTTTCCTTGCAAACAACCTTTCAAATGCATTGATTCGCTGCCAGATTTCTTCACTATTTAGCTTTCATACCTAGTTTTATGATTGCTGGCATTTCCTGATTGATGCCAATCTATAAATATATACTCAATAGCAAACACATTTTGTAAGTGCTAGCCCTTTTGTGATCAAAATGGCATCATTCACATACAATAAGGCAGATACTTTTTAAGACATGAGGCCCTTTTGAAAGGTCAGAGTGTGTTAGTAGTTAGTGGGCTGGATTTGAAACTTGTCTTTTGGGTTGAATTTGTCCTGAAGGCACATTTCAGATTTCAGGCCTGATGACTGTGTAAAAGGGTCCAGAGAGGCTTACAAACATGTGAAAAATGGTACAGCTTAAAAAATTATTCATATAAAGGTTAAAAAAAGGAATTAAATGACAACTCAGGCTGCTGTCACACTGCAGAATTAATGCAATTTGACACTGCTGTAACTGTCATGGCTCCATCCTATGGAATCCTGGGATTTGTAGTTTGTTGTGACACCAGAGCATTCTGATAGAGAAGGCTAAATATCTCATGAAACTACACATCTCAGGATTTCATAGCATTGAGTCATGGCAGTTAAAGTGGTGAAAAGTTGCATTACTTCTGATATGTAGCTGCAGCCATAGTTTAAAAAAATCAAAAGGTTAAAACAATATAATATACAATTAAAGCATAGTAGAAAAGATTAAAAAAAACACCTCATTAAAAACTCTTTTTGCCATATAGCGATTCAACAGGTGCAGCTTCCACCAGCATGTTAGTGCAGCTCTTGGATTCATGAATGGGAAATGGTTAGATCCCTTGGCAGGAACCCTTCTAAACCCTTCTTACTCTTGTGTAGCCAGCATCGTCTGCTGGGATAATCTGGAATGAATCACATGAGATTTCAGCCTTTGTACATTCCAGCCATTTCATTCATGCTAACTTTCCATCCCAGCAGAATCTATCTGGTTGTTTTAAAAAGAAGTCTGGCTTTATGGAAACTCAATGGTTTTTTAAGTTATTTAGAACACTGTGTACAGTTAAATTGTGAAAATAAGCTATGTCTTGGACCCAAGGGCAAAGTTTGTGACCCAACAGTACATTTTATAAATTTTCCATTCAGGAGGATCACAGTGCTTTTAGAAGTCTCCTGCTGTGCTGTGAAGCTGGAGCCTACTGTTGTCACTG